AGATGCAAGTTATGTTTAGTATTGGAGCCTCGAGTGCGAACAGATGATTGTGACTGCACTGTATGTGATGAAACAGATAAGATATTAGATAATATTAAGAATAACAAATAATATAAATTAAAATGATATATATACAAACGGCTACCTCCATCGCCCTGTATCTCCGCACGTTTCAGAGAACGATTAGGATAAAGATTAAAAGAGTGTTTTGGAACACCTGCCGGTGCAGATGTAGATGTAGCTGGATAATAAGAATTATTTATGTAAGTTCAAACTTCATGATCTGAGCTTTTCACACTAGCTACATCTAAGTGCATGCATTTGTGCACAGAAGTGTCCAGCATAGGATGTCTCGAACATATGGTGAATGACATGTCTACATCTAAGTGCAAAGATGTAGATGCAACTGACTTGATGTATGCAAATGTCAACATAACCAAAATTGTCATTACATAAGATTGAATTCTGAGTTACTGGGAAAGATGGAGGATTTGTTGCCTTGTTAAATTTGTAGATTGAGTGAAGGTCTAAGTTACTAATTCTATTACGGATAATGGTTTACAAACAAAAGCCTCTAAAATTCAACAATATTCTGAGTGTTACTACTCAATCGATGATGCATGCGCAAGGTTGCACCACAGAAACTAACTGCATAAAACTAAAAACTTTAATAAAATGATACATGAGCCTGCAAAATTGATACATTATCCTACAAAATTGGCAATTGCAATAAGATTCAATGAGGAAAAAGAAAAAGGAAGAACTTTTCCTGTAAATGCAAGAAGGCATCCAAGATGGAATTGGGACGCTAATAATACGTGAACTTGTAAAAAAGTCTTCCAAAATTATGTAAGAGATAGAAGCATTATGTAAGCATTTCTTAGTAAAAAACACATTAATCAACAAAAGATAATGAAGAAAGATACTGACCTGACGATTGTCCAGAAGGTATGGGGTGTGAAGGGGGATCGTCTGTAAATCATTTTCTTGTGTGGGTGCATGTTGATTTGCATCTATATCTGTGTAAGAGATGGAGTGCAAGTAAAAAAAAATTTCAACCGACTAGATTTTTATAAGGGATAAAGATTAGGTGACTTGTTAAAACAAAATCAAAAGAAAAATAAATAGTTACCTCTAACTGGAGTAAACTCCCCAATTCTAGGTATGGATGTAGAAACATGAGCAAATTCGAGCTCTCTCCTACGCTCTCTCGCCTGACGATGCAGGTCTCCGCGCTGTAAAAGTCTACGTGATTTGCTCCGTGATGGAACTCCAGACATATTCGTCAAACCCTATAAATAATTGTACAATTCATATAAGATATATGTAAAATAGACATATATATAAATTTGAAGATATAATTTTAAACAACATGAATTTTATAATGGTTACCTTTTTCACTTTACAGAAGTGTTAGGTTCTACAGATTCCCTAGAAATTATAGGAATATCTACAAGTACTTCACTATTTAAATCATTCCTAATCCATGAAATTTTATCAGATTCGGGAGATTTGTCTGGACATACAACCCCTCCCTGCTCAAATTCTTCATCATCATTGATCTCTACGGCCTCCGAATCTATGAACTGTGGGACGTCGTAAGTATCCCTGGGCCTCCATCGACATACAACACTCCATCCCGAATGCCTCAAGCACTTCTAGTAGTATACTTAAAATGCTTGTTCTGAAAATATAAATGGATCATCCTCAAAGGAAAAATGTGTGGTGTTTACACTCGTCAGTCCGTATTCATCTACCCAAGTCCCGTAATTATCTCTCCACTTACCAGTTCCAGTCTTCATATCATACCAAACACATTGAAAGACATAACATCCTGCTCATCCAGGATAGTTGATACCAAGTATGTTATCAACGTACCCATAGTATATCTCGTCATTAGTGCCTAAAGTTGCAATTCCACTATTTTGAGTGGTTCGAGATTCTTCTATAGACTTGATTTCAAACTTGTAATCGCCAACACTGAATCCTTTATAGTATTTAACTTCAGCATCTGGAAATGTAGCTAAATATCCAAATTCCTTATCTAATATTGATTCTACACTTGGTAATTGACTCTAACAAAAAGGTCAATACGGCAATTACACAAAGATGTTAGATTAGATTGAATGAATGAGTCAAAAATTGAGATAATAGAAATCTTACATAATGTTTAAACAAATTGCAAAAATTGTCCTGATGATGTGTTTCAACGCGTGCCTCATTCCAATTACTATGCATTGCACGTATTTCATCCATGTGTATTCTAATGTCAAAATGAGTAGTTAATGTGAGAAGTATATTATGTCATATAAACATATATAATTATGCGAAATAGGCATACTCTCTAACTTCTCCAAGGTATTCGATATTGAGAAGGATAAAGTGATGAATCTTGTTGATAAATGCGAGATTCATTCTATTGTAGTCCGGCTTTTTTGATGGTCCGTCATGAATCACAAGAGGTCTGTTGAGTTTTATCTCAATGTCTTCATCCAGATAACGGGAACAAAAAGTGGTTACTTCCTCTAGCAGATAACCTTCTATTATAGAACCCTCTGGCCGATTTCTATTGCGAATATAAATTTTCAGAGTGAGAAGGTACCTACAAAAGCTTACACTAAATCACCACATCCAAGATGTAAAATAAAAATATATTGATTACGTTAACTGTAAAACTAAAGGTACCTTTCGATGGGGTACATCCATGGATATTGTACCAGTCCGACAAGCCTAGCCTCAGTTGCAAGATGAACAGTCAGGTGTACAATGATATCAAAGAATGATAGTGGAAAAATTCGCTCAAGCTTGCACAAAATTAAGGGAATTTCAGCCTCTAGCTTCTTCAACTTATCATCGCACAAAATTAAGGGAATTTCAGCCTCTAGCTTCTTCAACTTATCATCCTCAATGTTTTTAGCGCACAACTCCCGAAAGAATCCGCAAAGATCCCTCTAGCTTCTTCAACTTATCATCCTCAATGTTTTTAGCGCACAACTCCCGAAAGAATCCGCAAAGATCGTTGATCACTAAACCAACTGATTTAGGAAGGGAAGTCCTGAGAGAGAATGGAAGAAGATGGTCTATAATAATATGATGATCATGACTCTTCAACCCTTTGATCTTGCCTTTAACAATCTTTATCTTCTTACTAAATGATCCTGAAAACCCCGTAGGAACCTTCAACTCATGTAACACCTGAAGAAACTTTTTCTTCTCATCTGGTGATATGTGATACACGGCATTGGGGAGTACAAATTGGTCAGGATTGCCTGCCTTCGGTATAGGATGCAACTCTTTTCTAATGTTCCACGCCTGGAGATCCCTTCGAGCTTTGAGGTTATCTTTTGATATTCCATCTGTACAGAGAAGTGAGTTAAGTATGTGCTCAGATACTCCCTTCTCAATATGCATTATGACGTCTAGATTCTGCCGCACTTTATTTGTCTTTCAGTAGGGTAGTTCGAAGAAGATACTTTTTTTGTTTCATCCATGTGGTATTTCTTGCCTTCCCTTAACTTTTCCGAAAGTCACGTTGTTTTTACCATTCCACTAAGCAAGTATATCCTCTCCAGATAATGGGTTTGGACGCGGGCGGTTCTCTTTAGTACCATCAAAGTGGATGATGTCATCTTTGTACAGATGATTTTCATTTAACATGCGCCGATAGCCGCAATAACAAGTCTTATTGCTAAAGGGTAGTCTTCTCGATGTTGTCTGGAGATGATTGTAAGGACATGCAGTGTAACCATGTACAGACTAACCAAATAGCATTCTGTATGTAGGAAAATCGTTGATTGTCCACATTAAGGCTGCACGCATGGTGAAGTTTGTCCCCGTGTCCGCATCGTATGTCTCCGCACCATCGATGAATAAAGACATTAACTCTTCGATAAGAGATCGAAGATAGACGTCAATACTGCTTCCCGGTGACTTTGGACCATCAATAAGAAGAGACATCATGAAATATGATTGGTCCATAGCCAATCACAGTGAGAGGTTATAAACCATCATCACAACGAGCCATGTGCTGTGGGGATTGCCCTTAAAGCTAAAGGAGCAAAAGCCATCACTAGCCAATCCTAACCTGATATTGCGAGGTTCCTGACTAAATGTTGGGTGCCTACTGTCAAAATCCTTCCATGCAGGCATATCTCTAGGATGACTCATTCGTCCATTTTTACTTGGATGTGCACGGTGATGCCAAGTCATCGCCATCGTTGTCTTCTTACACTTGAATAGCCTCTGTGTAATGGGAAAGTATCGTAGTATCTTGATATGTATATCCTTCTTTTGACCATGAAATTTCTTCTTATATCTAGCCTCTCCGCAAGTAGGACACTCCGTCTTATCTGAATTTTCTTTCCAGTAAATTATAGAATCATTGGGACATGCATGTATCATCTCACACTTCAGACCCAGATTAGACATCATCTTTTGAGCTTTGTACCAGCTATCAGGCACATGGTTCCCCGGAGGCATAGAATCTTTAAGAAACTTGAGGAGCATCGTAAATAACTTGTTGCTTCATTTATTTAGACATTTGTTCTGGAATAGATGGACAAACCATGACAACATGGAGTGTTTTGCATTCTCATAAATTGGCCTCCTAGCATTATTCATGTATTTGTCATAATTGTCTTCACGATGTCCTCCTCCGAAAGGAGAATCTTCAGCAATGTTAGTGTTACCTAGAGCTATCTCAACCATTTCCTCCATTTCCTCATCAAGAAATAAGTTGTCTTCAAACTAAACAGTGTCCCAATAGCAAGAATATAATTAAAGCAGCTTTCAAATCTTGAGAGCTGATGGATTGCCTTTAGCATTCTCATCCTGGAAGAACATGGGAATATGAGACAGTCTGTCATTTGGCAAGTCTCTCTGATGTCAGAACGGTCACAAAATGTTTAACTTTGGATCTCAATGCACATATGATTATCATATTTGCTAAGTGGACAGCATGAATTTTTATGTTCCTGTAGTAGCGACCACTCAATAATATATCAGATGTTAAAGATAATATTGGAAATTTTTAGAGAGCTGTAATATACATAACTAAGGTACGAATACAGCACCCAGGTAAGGTCTGACAAAATTATGAAAACTTCCAACAGTCAGTTCACTATCCAAACATATATTACAGCCATTATCAATCTTACATTTTCACACTTTTACAATAACTCTGCAGGGAGCCATGGGTCTCGCTGGAAAGCACTTGCAAATCAAAAAATAACCTGTTAGAAAATCAGTTGATATAATCCGTGAAAATCCCGGGATCACTAATTTGTGTGGGTTCTTGATGTTGACCTTGTACTGGGTTTGGCACGATAGCATGAGGACTAGAAACCTCTGAATTGTCAGCTCTTAAGATTATCGTATAATGAACTGATACCTTCTTCGGGTCAAATTTCTTCAAAATCTATCCATACAGCTTCAATCTGCACATATCAGAATTCTATACGCAAACGCTTTAATTCAGCAAGGAAAACACTGCTGGAAGTTAGAGTTCGGTGTGCCAATGCCCTAATATCTTCTCGAGAGCAATCTCGTGAGATGCGAACCAGCTCCCACAAAGCACCCTCACTGATCATATCCTTTGCATTTACTTCTAAAAAGAGATATAGAGCCCATAAGGTCACATTTAATGAAAAATCTGGTGTGGGAAGGAGGGAGGATTTCTGCTTACCATGCTGCGCTAAGTGGCATAATGCAAGCTCAATGTGTCGTCTGATTGGTGAAGCTTCATTGTTAGCATTTTTTACAATCCAAGGAAGTGCTCCGTCTTCAATCAAGAGAGATTTTCCTATCTTGTTTCCTTCAGTAATCAATAATATAATGATACATCAGAAACCCGATGACAAGGGAGATATGCTTCAAGACATCTCAAACATTGAATTTATCATATAAGTAACAGTTGAAAAGAATAAACTCCAGAAATCGTCAACGATTAAGCATTAACCCCTCCCTTCCTCCCCCCTCCCCCACCATCCAAAAAAAAATTGCATTATTGATTCACATCCACTCCCTCCTTTGGCCAACAAAATTACATTATGCATTTATGACATGCATGATGAGAATAACTAAGCCTCTTTTTGCCTTCTGCTATCATTTATAGTTAGATTGGGTTTTTGGTTGCATTTAGTCCAAGGTCATCCTATCCCCCTCTTCTCCCACCTGTCTACCTTCATCTCCTCCCAGGCCATTTCCTAATAGAGTTCCATTTTTTTAAAGTAATAAAAGCAATAAAACCAAAACCATCCTCAGAACTCTCACACTATTAAAAAAATTTTAAAGGGACCATCTAAATCTAAATTCATGTTTAATTCAAAAGACATGTCATAATTCAAAAATCTATGATTTACTATCACGAATTAGAAAGATGATTATAGATTTATAAGAATAAAGAAAATGAAGACAGCTTGAAATTCCTTTGAACATGGGGATTGATCACTTTAAACATTTGACTTTTAAATTATTGAATATTTTAATCACATATCATTGAACATCTTAATCCTACATTGTGGAAGTGCCTTTATGAGCGGTTGGTCAGATAATTAAGTTAATTAAAAATTAATTTGATTAGTAATTGGCTCTCGGCCTAATTGGTCTCACTAATGTCATTAAGAGAGTTCTAATTACAGTGCAGTTCTATCTTATCTACAAATGTATAATCGTTATTGATTGTATTTTTATAAAGAAATCTATTTCAGTTAAAATTATTAACATGATGGATGGCCTAATCCTATATAAGAAAGGCATATGGAATCATATGAACACGTAGAAAAATAAAACAGAGAGAAAAAAACCTAAGAAAAGTTTGGCCTTGGAGATCCTACCAATCTCAGTACTATATTGCATCATATCAATGATTTGCATCATATCAATGATGAGTGAGATCCAATTGGAGGCTTTTTCACTTGAGGAAGTTATTTTTCTCAAAAATCTTAATACAACATTCGTAAAGGATTTGGAATCACTTTAGATATTTTCTTTATTCATCTAATTTTGAATTAAAGATCATGATATGCATATTCCGCCTTGTTATAGGTCATGATTCCAAATAGTAAAGTTTAATACCCCTAGTTATCATCCATTTGAATTTGGGAATATTCCTCAAACTTCTTTGAGAAAGAAATTCTCATTATAACCTGCCTACTACAAACCCAAACCTGATTTGGGGCGGGAAAGAAGGAATTTCGTGTTGAGTTTGGGGGTGAGAGGAAACTCTCTTTACCCTTTCTCAAAAGATGAGGCGAGAGCTCAAGAAAGGGATCTTTTTGCTGGTGGGGCGGGGTTTGGGGGTGGGTGGGGGGGCACAGTTAACAGTTAATGAGATTAGCATGTTAACTATCTATCCTAAATTAAGCACTCACCCAACCATGGTTAACATTGGATGGATTTTGTAATGGAAAGATTAATTTAATATATATGATTTAGGAGAGCTAATAGTAATTTCAATTATTTGAGCAACTTATCTCTAAATATGAAAATTTTGAGGGACTAATGTCGAAATAACATGTTAAGAAAAGATAATAGGAAAATTACCACATATAAAGGATAATACATTTATATATTAAAAAACCATTTTATACAATTGCTTGAAATGACATAGTAATGTAGTCTTGTACATAAATAACTTTTGTAACTTAAAATGTCAGTATTTATTTTGTTCCATGAATTATGAATAGGTTAACACGATTAATAACAAAATTTTCCGTAAGAACCTTCGACAGATACAGAACCTTCTTTGACAACTTGATACAGCACTAGAACATTGTTTAAATATGTTTATATTTAGGTAGGTGTAGGCATCGAAAATTGCCTATAGGTCTCCACGAACGGTTCAGTGTTAGAGAGCGACGATGAACGTCACCATCCGATCCACAGGAGTTCAATTGACGTCGACGAACGACTGAAGTGAATCGACGAGCTACATGAGCGGATAGGATTTCGGAACAACGAAGACCCGGACCGATCGGGAACCCGGCACTGTTCACCAAGAGGACAACGCCCTTCGAGTCTCGTTCATTTCACAGATAATCCAACCATTGGAGCAGATAGAACTCTTCGTCAAGCATCCAACGCACTTGGAATCACTCAAATCCGAGTTCGGACGAAGAGTTTACGGCAAAAACAATCGGATGTACCCCAGAATGTCTCAGGAGTTCCAAAACACCCCCAGGGGTGTCTCAGAAATTCCGAGACACCCTAGGGGTGTCTCGGAAAATCCGAGACACCCCAAGGGTGTCTCGGAATTTCCGAGACACCCAGGGGTGTCTCGGATTCTTGGAGACACCCCCAGGGTGTCTCAGATCTGTGGAGACACCCCAGGGGTGTCTGAAGAGCTATTACCTCGTTTTAGCCGAGGTATACGCTTATAGCTTCTAGATCTCACGCGGATCGACGAAGTTCTGCTTCTATATCCCTCCGCGGATAGACGAAGCTCTGCCCGATTTTCTCGGACCAGATCTGAGTGCCCCGGTGGTCCACGGATATCAACATCCCCGTCACAGGCAAAAGACCCACGCAAGCAAGAGATGACAAACAGCTCTTGCGTTTGTTTGAAAGGAGTTGCATTTATTTTGTTTTCATTGTGTATCGGTCTTATAAAAAGGCTATCTTTTTATTTCATTGTAACGATTGAAGTTGTAATGAATGCAGCAATGAATACAGCAACTTTTTCCGCAAACAAGCTGGCGACCACAGTGGGAGCCAACGGCATCGCTACCGACGCCGTCGTGACGCAGCCGGCATTCAAGATCCGGGTGAATGAAGAACACGAGCTCGATCAACAACAGTTCAAAGAAGGCCTCTCTTCCTCCTCCTCCAGATCCGCCTCTCCAAACGGGTACAGAAAGGTAACCTCTTTCATAAATGTTTGCAGGTCCTTCGGCTCAAAAATCCAAGACCCCGTTGCCGCCGCTGCACTTGCACCACGTGACGTCTCCGCGTCGTCCAACGTGGTCGAGATCGCAGGTCCGGACTCCTCCTCTGCACTTGCACCACGTAACGTCCCCGCGTCGTCCAACGTGGTCAAGATCGCAGAGCCAGACTCCTCTTCCGCCGAGGAGATGGCTTATGAAGACGCTCCAGCATTATCAAAGAGAGCACGCCAAAGACGGCGTCAACACCTTGCTCGTCAGCTGGCCAAAGCTTTGGAGCCGACAGATGGGATCCACTACAATGAAGATCTCAAGTCCAGACATCGCCAAGAGCAACAACGGCAAACAACCAGCCCCTCCTCCAAAGCAGAAACGAACAAATGGGTTCATGTCAAAAGAACCCGTTCTACTCTCGAGGAGCGAATCCAGAAGCGCCGCGCCTTGCGTGCGCATGCCCAGACCCTTATGCGAAAAGCACAAGAAACGAAAAGGGAAAAGGCAGTTAAGAGATCACCGAGATCCAAACAAGTTTGGGTGCCGAAGGCCGAATCAACGCCTAAGGCAAAAGCAGGTAATGTTGCTCTCCAACCTTCGTCAATTTCAGATCCTGAACCTCCGGTAAAGCCCCACCGCAGCGTGGATGTCCCCAAGTCTAGGAATCCTCTGAACAACTGTATCGGTGCTCTACCCGAGAATCGAGGAAAAGCGCTTGTCAAGGAAAGCTGGGGATCGTTGAAGGAGCTTCGAGCCAACATCCAGACTGGGGGTCGTACACGATCTCCTAACAAATCGATCTCTGCAACAACCAGCTCGGCGGTGCGTGCAAAGGACCAAGAGCCGGCGGTGCGTGCAAAAGACCAAGAGCCCGTTAAGGTTTCACCCTCACAAAGGTGTGATTCCGAACGTGCGACTCTTGCTGACGCCAACAAGGTAATGTTTACTCAGAAGAAGACGCGTCGGACAGACGAACGCGTTATACCTGAGAACCCATGTGAGCAGCCGATAGGTTACTCCGACTGCAACGTCAGTGAGTTGTACTATCAGGCTGGGGGTGCGGATGAATCTCGAAAGAGAAACACCCGGGAAGCGGATTCTCACTGTCCGTGTACCAAACTTATCAGGGCAGTATTATCAGCCTGTAGCTGCCCCAAGACCGCTCCACAGAGGGTCTCGATATTCGAGGGAATCTCCGATGGAACAACAAAGCCCAAATCAAGGCGTTCCCACCAAAGAGGATCGATTGCTCGAGATGATGAACCCCTAGAAGTGACTATCAACATGGTCAACAAGGGAAAATCCCCAATCATTTCAAGTGATTCCGACCCTAATTCCTCTCCAGGAAGCAGGGTCAATTCGAGAACAGCTCAGCTTCAGCTAGAGGCCGACAGATATAACAACGATCGTGGGATCCATGAAGGAGTCCTTTCCGATGATGAATCCTCAGATTCTCACTCCGCCCTCGCTTCTGACGAGACAACGTCGAGCGTAGGACAAGCTCGAGAGGTGCTCATGGTCAATACAGATCAGATAGCCAAAATCATTGAAGAGGCCCTGACTAAGCAGAAGGAAATCTTCAAGTTTGAAATGGAAGTGGCTATGCAAGAGATGAGACAAATGCACGACCAACGAATCCGAGCTCTGTCGAACAGGCTAGTCGAGTCCAACCATCGCACCCAGAACGCTGCAGTCAACAGCGAGCCGGAGGTGGTCGAAATCGTCATGGCCAACGCACCACCCAAGAATACTGGGGGTGGCCCCACTAAAATTAACAGCGCTGGGGGTGGACCCACCAGTGATGATAGCGCTGGGGGTGGACCCACCAGTAATGACAACACTGGGGGTGGCCGTATGATTCCTCTCGAAACTTATCCAAAACAGGATATGGGTGAGGCCGAAAAGATAAAGGAGCTCGAAAGAAAAATCGAAGCCCTGA